GGTTTACTTGTCTGCTTGTCTTAACCGTGAACTGTGCTGAGTAAAGAATTAACTCCACGTTGCCTAAGCGTAACCAGCTGAGAAACAGTTAGTGAGTTGGTTACTTGCGAATCGAAGGAACAGCATAGTATTGGTCTGGTGATGCCAGAATCAACGACTCGCACGACCATGCCGTTCTATGCGAGCGCTACGTGTGACTGCACATTTCGGCCTGACCCTTCTTATAGATGACTCTCCTGAGTAATACTCAACGAAGGGTGTTACCCAGATTTCATTTCTTTCTTTCTCTTACTACGACAAGTAAATCAGAAAAAAACTCATTTTTAAGTTTCTTCGTCACATGCTCATTGGCAAACGGTTTCCATGTTCAGAACGGACTTCGCATAACCTGATAAAATGCTCTGGTGATTGTCTGCACTCGTGTGCTCTACTGGTTTCGCATTCAACAATTGAACGTTCTTTATTTTCTTAGACGTGGCTCTCTGATGTAGTCCGTCTGTTACACAGATGCTAAATACCTTCTTCAGTACGACCTGAAGAACCATAGCATGTTTTAGGCATGGCATTAGTCATTTCTTGCAAATCCACATTAATAAGATATTTTTTCGTCTTGTTTTGGCCGTTGCTTCATACTTACTGTAGTTAAGGTCGTATAAGGCATCGTATCGCTATGACTATTTCTGTACGTCTAGCAGGACCTCAGGCGTAATATTGCTGTAGTTTTGAAAGTCAATGAGTGTAAAAAACTGTTTATTCGTAAAACAAAACTAGGCACTGAAAAAAAATAATCAATAACTAGAAATAACAATATCTACGTTGCACAACTCTAACGCGAATCCAACACGATGTCGCCAAGGTTCGAACGCAACGGAGAGAAGTGCAACGTGCCGTTGTAACGCAGCATCTCTCCTTCCTTTTTATTGCACTTGTGTAGGATGACCAAGAATGGATCAGGGTGATTTTTTATGCCTGGAAGTGGGTCAGTGTCCCTCGCACAGCCAGCGAGCTTGAAGTCGCCATTAGAATTTGGTAAGCCATATCTGAAACGCAGGCGATTACGATACAGAACTGAAGTAATGACAGCACATAGACTGGTATACTCCGCTTCTGCTCTTTACTATACTGGCAGATCAGAGCACCATATATTACCAAATGATGCTAAATAGCTGAACAAGTAAAGCCTATGAGTGTAAAAGAGATCGAATGACACTGTCTTGCTGGGTGACAGTGAAGAAAACCTTTCCTCACTTACAAAAGCAGGCCTTCGGCTAAGCCATTCCAAGACAGAAATAATGAGGAATTCAGATGAAGTCCGGCAGATTAAATGATCCCAGTTTTCGGGTACATGAAGGGAAGGCTCACGGTGCTCTTTTCGTGCAACTTCAAATACCTCTAGGAAATTGCACTGGCAAGCGAAAATCGATTCCTAACAAGGTTGCCCGTTCCTCTAGGGATTATAGATGGCTGCTCTTGCAAGAGCATGCGAAGGTAAACTGAATATTCCCAAACAGCACTAGATAATAATAGAGCAGAAAATCAGTGGCACGAGGGCACTACAAACAATCAGCCTTGTGTGACTGATTTCATGAACACAAGAAATTCTCAACGTTAGGAGTGGTTATAGGATTGGTCACAGGCTCATGACCTTCGAACAATACAGAAATCTCCTTTTTATGTGAGTATCTAACAGGAGAGCATATTCGTAGATTTGGAACGGATCGCGGTCCCAAGATTGCAGAGGCGCCCTTATTTCCTTAAAGCTGTATACACTGCCCATTACCTCTCAAAATAAGAAACGCTGCGCGTTTCGACTGAAAAGGCATTATGATTCTTAAAAGGCTTGCAGTTTCACATAGCTGTCAATAAGGGTGACAAAACAAGCTATGCGTTTGTATGTCGGACGGTCTGACGGTCGCAGTGAAAAGCGTCAGTTTATAGTAACGTTAAACTTTAAATCAATCAGTCAATGTCAGCTGACGTACACCATCAGGTCGTCAGGATCGAACCAGTTCAGCGGCCATGGGGCGTCTTTATCGTAGATTTTGAGTTCTGCCATGCTTGCCTCTTGAGGATTCTTGTTGCAAACGAGGTGACCGTATGCAATGACGCACTTTTCGCTGGCGAGGCAAATGTGGAAAAAGGCCAGTGAGATGAAACATGCCAGTGCGCTGCGGCGCATCGTTCGGTCGCTCTCTCGAATGTCGAATATAACTAAAAACTGAATTCTGACGATTGCGCATGGAAAGTCGTACAGTAAATCAGTGGTTTATTTCATTAAGATTTAAATCTAACCACCTCCTTACCATTACGAATCTGGTAAAACACGTTTAACTTCTAATCAGAGGAAAATTAGCATGGGAGACTCATTCGTCAAGCTGTTCTTTTTCTTAGGCACCGATGACATATATATCAGCTAGGTTATCTTTGTTTCGTTAGGCAACGGTTATACTGCTGATGGTAAACTTCATGGCTATGAGGATTAAAGAGAATAGTTCTAATATACTTGGTTCTTGCATCTGATCGTGTACTCGGTTTGTTGCCTACCTTGAAGTCAAGGTTCAGAAATTGCGCTCAGAAGATATAAGATGTAGCGAAAGAAGTGGCTGACTTACAAATCGTACACCGTACACATATTCTTTAAAATATGGGCAAGAATTCAAGGGCAGTCAATTGGTTTTGATGGCTGCTCACTCATCCTTTCCAGTCGTCGAGGAAGCAGCGTCAGACAATGTCTCCAACGTTCTTGATCCTGAGTCAGCGTTTGACCCTCGGCATGAAATATGCCAACTCAACAGCGAAGTTCGAGAAGGCACCTGCCTCAGGTCAGTCTCAGTCCCCCTGAGGTCAGCCGGTAGAGAAAGTTGTGACTATTTCACGTTCGTTCCTGGAAGCATTCGTAAAACGTACACAAATTGCCTTGTAGCTGTGATTGGTCAATCTGGAGAAACAGAAACAAACCAAAGGTTTGTGAGATCTGTGAACTCCGCAGCCTGTCGAGATTCTTGAACGCAGCAGTTCGCTTCAGAAAGTACATTATAGTCGCTTATGTATCGAATTCAAAGCGTATATGAGACGTTATCAACTATTGATTACGATAAGCAGTAGATTCATAAATTTGCTTAGCCGCGATGAGCCATAATAAAAGAGCAACTGATAGGGGGTATGAAACTCTGTGACGGGTCGTATGATACTGATCATCATGTGTAGCCAAGTAGC